CCCCAAAACCCCAAAACCCCAAAACCCCAAAACCCCAATTTTGGAAATCTTTGATACAAATATTGCCTACCATTCAAACATGGAGGAGAAATCAGGCCTTTGGGCTAAGTTTAGTCTGACTAATATGGGAATACTTGGTCTCACAGTCTTTGGAGTCACAAGAGGTAAGCCTACAGCTTACTTAGACTAGCATCAAGACTTATGTTCAAGAAGATTGATATATACAAACAAAAGGGGTTGGCCAAGGAAGTTAGTACGTATCTCTCCTTTTAGATTTTGCCCTCCACAATTCTAATTTTTATAGTTATATCAAAAGGATTCGCCAGCTGGAACCTCCCACAGGTATTTAGTTAGCTAATTTTGGTGATTTTAGGCTCAAAGTAAGATATTTAGTGATTTTTAAGAAGCAAATCAGCCAAAAGTTCTCAAATTTTTGGTCCAGGAAGGACAAAAATATCGTATGGATTATTTCTCATGTCCTATGATAGTCAATAAAGAGCAGTTAGAAGAGGTAAGAACCTTGAATGTTCCAGTAAGAACCCTGCTGACATTGTTTAAACTACTAATATCCATTTTGTATCACTTCTGTGTTTTTGAGGAATATTTCGCATAATTTTCCTTTCATAGGTGGTTGATGATCAATGAACCTCAGTTCTTGGCACGGTTAGTGGGGTTTATCATGTCCAGAAGCCTCTACTTATACCTCAAAGATGGCATAAAGATACTGAGGGTAAAATTTTTCTGTAATTTTAGGTGAATTGGAGCTATTTAACTTAGATGACGTGTTCCCAGAGACACATGCCCATACGAATATAGTCACAAAGTCTCTACGGGGGTAAGTCTTTGAAAGCCAAATATCTCTTAAACTCATTTTGTTTCTTTAGATTATTCGAGTCATTTGTGAGAAGCCAGAGGCTGCATGGGCCTGTTTCCTTCACTGTGTATCAAAATGTTTTTGAAGCCTACAAGGTTATTTACATAACTGCTCAGTAAAGCAAATGGATTCAGAGGGTCCATCCAGAACTGTGTACAGGTTTAGACACTAGCAGCTGCTTCTGGCCTCAAATTCAGATTATTTCAATAAGAGTCAGAGATTTAGGGGTTTTGGGGTTTTGGGGTTTTGGGGTTTTGGGG